CCGAACTTGCTGAGTTCGCATCGGACAAAAACTGGGCAACGATCTGAAATGTTTATAACGCGAGATGAGAAAAGTATCATCCCTCCCTCCAATCCTCGTTCGGCGCTCTTTGTCACTCGTGACGTTAAATGGACTGTGGCGTGTACCTTTGCCCTCGAAATTTCCGTACGAACTGAGTGACCATCGCATACCCAACGAACAACAGGTCCAAATCGCTTAAGGTCTCTCGCGTGTCAGGACCAAGCCAACGACATATTAGCGACGCGACCTCGCATTACGGGCACGGAGAGGGTGGCAACAAGGGCTCGAATTAGCGAATTCTCTGGCTTAGGCAATGGCCAAGATTCTCTCGCTCACAGGACGATGACAGTACGAAGCATCCGGGGCCACTGCCGCGACATTCCAATTTACGCGCTTTACGAGTTTGCGTTGGGTAAAAGAAAATAAAGAGGCGAATTGAAGTCCTGAAAAATGCGATTGGACCGGTTGTTCGGTGCGCCAGCGTGAACGAAAAATCGAGTAACCGTGGGGAGGAGGAGAGCCGATTCGCGTCGATCAAACTGACGGACGAGCTCCGGCCGACGAGCCATTTACGGCTGTTGGGCTTTAAAAATGGGGGCCACGCTCGCCCCTCCATCCCCAACCCCGTCCTCATCGCTCCATCGTGCCGATGGATTTGAACATGTTGGATGGTCGCCGTCGAAGGCGTTAGGCCACTCGCTGATATAATATCCCTATCCTGGTCTCGCGACCACTGTCCCCATAATTATGCTCATCCCAATCGGAAATTCTCCTTGGAAATTCTCCTCGGAAATAGATCTCCTCGTGTTAATTGCCTCAAGTAAGATTTGTGCGAGAGTCATTATCGCGGCCGTAGCCGCGCGGTAGGTTATCTCGGGTCAGTGAAATTCCCAATAGGCCGTTGCGCGGATATTAATTGTCCAGAGCTACGGTGGTGGGCGCGTCCGATTTTCTGGAAAACCAAGGCAATAAATCGCGGCTTCCTCTTCGCGGCCGCGATCAGTGGCACCTAGGCGCCGTGACGTCATTGCGCGCCCGGCTGAGGAAGCGGCTCGTCGATAACGGGCCCGCAGCGGGAGGAACGACCGCCTTCGTCGTGACGCAAGCGTCTAGCGTAACAAAAGCCGTGCACCAGGTGACGTGTCAGGTGGGCGAGATGAGCCCGGGCATTGATTAATGGCCTGCGTAGTTCGGGAATTCAATTCGTATTTCGTATTCGTATTTCGGGGCCGGTTGGCCTCGTGTCCCGAAAGATCGCACTCTCGAGACTCGCCGGAAGTGATAATGGAAGAATTGCCTACTAGACCAGTCGTGATGGCGGGCATCCTCGTCATATCGTAGTTTTTCTTCTTCGACTCTCGGCCAAATTTGCGCGTTTTCAGAACGGCCCGGGGCCCACTCACGTTCCCCCGCTACGTACTAAGCGAGACAGATGATTTTTCAATAAGCTGGAGTTAAACTGGCATTTTTGTTGAAATAATTACGAATGAATAGTCAGGTGATTTAAAGCAATAACATCCGACGTCATATAGAATTTTCTATTCTTAATCTTTGCTTCTTATCGGTAGGCATTGTCAGCTCCTTCGAACGCGTGCTTCTTTCCCGTTTTGTAGTACTATTTGCGTAGTGTGCGTATAGATTACTGACGATTAAAAATCATATAAAGTGTTGTATTTGAGATTTTTTATAACAAGCGACTAGCACGAAGCTCTCAACTCACATAAAAGTGTTCAGAATTGCAAAAAGTCTTTCTTGCCCTAGCTTTCTGAATAAAACGGCTCAAATATTGCGATGAATTATTTCGATGACGATAAAATCGAAGATTTTATTATGCTGAAGATTTAAATGCAAAATTATGAACGAGGATCAACTTATAAGAGATTGAGTTATTGAGACGACAAATACGGGAAATTGGCTGTTTCGTTTCATCGAAAGGCCATGTTAATGTTCTCCGGATTAAGTTGATTAATCAATAAGCCGACGGCATAAAAGCTCGAGCAAAGCACATGCTTAACTAACTATACGTCGTCGAATCCATAGTTTTCGGGTACCAAGAATATGTTGCGAAGCATGCAAAATACGCTCGGTAATGGCTCCTTTCTAAAATATTCATTAAAAAAAAAAAAAAAAAAAGAAAAAAAAAACGAAAGAACAAACAAACAACCAAAAATAAAAATAAAAAAAAACTTAAACGTCCGAGTGGCTTGCGAGCTCGGATCCTTGGCGCAAATAAATCAGGAGCGGCGGAAGTAAAATTACAGCGAGGTTGGCACACTTGTCGTAGCCACACGAGGGGCAAAATAGTTTTCCCGTGTGGCCCGACCCACGTATATGGGCGGCGTAATTGCGCGCACATCGACCGTCTCCGTGGCAATTACACATCGGCCGCGCATAAACCTTTTTACGCACCGAGGCTTCCGGCCGGCAATATTTTCTCGGGGCGCGTTTTTGTAATCTGCCCCGGGCGCCGATCACCCCGAGCTTTACGATCCCGGGACCACTCGTGACTTACCTCGTTGCCTCCGTTCCACGCCTCGACGCCCCCTCGGCCGACGCTCCTCCTGGGAAGGGGCACAAAACCGGAGCGCAGTGGGAAGGGGAAAAAAACCGGGGCGAAGTCGCGTTTACATCTAATTATCGTGGAATGCTTGTGTTAGTAAGCTGGAAGCCGCCCCGAGCCTCCGCCCAACGGTTTTTGGAGGCGACCTGCCGTTACTGGATCGAGGATGGGGGCGGGAGTCAAAAGAAGCGGCGGAGTTCGTTCGAACGTTAACAGTGATCAAAAGAAATTGTTAGGGGCTTCCGAGTTCGTTACGTTTATTGCTATTTTTCTATCGTCGAAGGTGAAATTGTACTTTTTTCGTTTCTTTTATTTTCGTCTTTTTAATTCTGGTTTCTCGTCTCGTTACACAGACCGATGGGATTTTCAACTTGTTGAAACTGAAATATGAATGAGCCGCCTTTTACGTAATCCCTCGATCCTTCGATTCGTTTAACGCGAATTTACTAAAGTCGGTATTTTCATAGCAGGAGCACATGGTAGCGGATGTTGCATACAATTGACATTCCCGAACAATCAACGAGCACTACGAAGTAGTAATGTGCTAGTGGAGCACATCCTACCCAAATCATCAGAATATCGTAATATTACTTCATGTCATATTTCAATTTCATTTTATTTTCCTTACCTTCATCCTACTTACCACTCGTGTGAGTGTCATTTTATCACGGCCTTTTAAAAACTTGCTTCACTTTAATCCTTGGCATTCGAGCACAAGACACTTAATTTGTATTTGTAAATTAAAACCCGCAAAACAATCGCCTTGTATTATTACAGAATCGTTAAAAGGGAAACAAAGGTTTTCGTACGGCCAAATGTACGGGGATTTGGGTCGAGTGTGGAAATAGTGCGCGCGCGCGCGAATCAAAGCAGAGCTGGCAAATAAGATTTGCGGTGTGTCTCGAATCCTTAGGTGGTAAGCATTTGCAATAAAGCGCGTGGCATTGTTCTAGGAAAAGCTAAATAAGTGTATGCGTGTGGTGGGCGAAAGAGACGCGCGACCATTGAGTAAAAATGATGGGCAGTCGCCTCTCTTCGACGAGTCTCGACCGATAAAGAAAACTCGTCTCGAGCTTAACCTTCGGTGTGGCCTCTAAGCAATTTTCCGAGCATCATGGGCCGTAGAGGCCCATGCCAGTGGACTTATAAGAGGCCCTCGACAGAACAGTGCCGGATGAAGAAAATTTCTCAGGGCGGCCAATGAGCCTCGTTGTATCGATAAGTATTCGTTGGTGTGTGCGGGCGCGCGCGCGCGCGACTCCCACCACTTACTCGAATCAATTTGCAGTAATCTTCCACGCCTCGTCCTGCGGTTTTCCACGCTATAACCTCGTTTCGGGGCCTCCTTCACCGCTCTCGGACAGCTGAACTCTCTCGCGTAAATCAATGCTAACCTATTAGCACTCAATGATGTTGGCGAGGAGATAATGTAGACGAGAACTTGACGGCGGGATGTTTTTCTTTAGCCCATCGCCATTTTTTATGCATTTTTGTCTTTGTCTAAGTAGGAAATGAAAGATAGAGATAGAGGGAGAGGGGGGGGGGGATGAGCCCATGGTCGTGAAGTTCGGAGGCAGACCACATCGACATTTCGATCAAAAGCGATTCGTGAGAAATATTTATCATTTATTTATCAAGATACATTTAATACTTGCCTTTGCACTATAAATTTACTTGTACTTCTCACTTATTCATCAGTTTGTTTATATTGAGTCACTTAAAAATTTCTCAAATCTCTTACTCACTAATAAATAAATATTTAAACAATTATAATTCACTTACAATTATGGTAGTGGCGTAGTTTTTGGAAAAAATAATCATTATAATGATGAAGCACGTGTCTTATTAATTATGCTCATCTTATTCAATCAACAATTCAATAAAAGTTTTATAAAACTAGTGGGCAATTGTAATTGCTTAAAAAAAAATTTATTCTATGCAATGTTTTTATATAAGGATATCAAAATTATCAGTGGAGAAAAACGCTTTGGTATTTATTAGTTGTACGGTCGTTGACTAAAAAGTAAAATCAAATAAAGTAGCGAAGGTAAGAAACTTTGCTCGTTATAAAATTTACAGTCGCATTATATGAACGACGACACTCCCCAAGCATACCTGGCGGTCGATAAAGAAGGGCATTTCCTTATCGTCCAGTACAGATTTGCAATATTCCGCATATAAATCTACACGTATATTATAATGAGATAATTATATCAAGGAATTCGTTGGGCCTTCCGTGCTTTCGGGTAGGAAAGTAGTATAAAAACGAAAAGTAAAAAAAAAACGGCGCCTCGTTGTATTTATGGATCAGAATCCAGTCTTCTTTGCGCTTGAGTCTCGAGTCACGCGCTCTCGAGTCTCTCACGCGGCGTGAAAGCATAAGCGAAAAAGAAGGACGAGCCGCGGCTGATGTACTCACCTCTCGTGCCTGGTCCTCGATGCTCCTCAGCACGGCGAGATTCCGGATGGTGGCTCGTCGCGACTCGAACGACGACTCGAGCCTCGTCGCCGCGTTGCCGACCTCTTCCACGAGCATTCGTGCCCGGTCCAGCGATAGTCTGTGTGAATGGAAACGACGAGTGTTTTTGATTACGTTGATTCTGGGTGGCAGCCGAGTGGCAACTGAACATTCTCAGCGGCTTACTTCTACTCACCGATTTACCGGCTCAAAACTTTGACTTTAAACATATTATCGAATGCCTGACTGCGACCACTTGGATAATGCGATTGTTAACGACCGGCTCGTTTAACAGCCCCGACGACTTTATGCTTCCATTTGCTTGAGAATCTGAGCGACGTGCCCGAGTCTTCCTTCTCAAGTATAAAGTAAACAAGTTTAGAAATTTACTATAACAAAAGTATCCGCGTCGATGTCGAGAGAAAAACCGACCCAAATTTTTTGGATATTACGTTTAATGGCGCGGCTAAGAACGAATATATTAACGGTAAGCGTACATTTAATAAAGGAAGTAAATCAACATTGTAAAAGACAACAAACTTGTTTGATCTCACTAATAGGTTGAAAAAACAAAGTCGCTCGTAAAGTAAATATATTCTATTCCCGGTGCTATTCGCCGAATAAAAACCGTTAAGAACGAAATAGAGAACTTTCACGATATCGAGGCATTGATATTCCTGGAAAAAATGGGACCACCAAAGTACGCTAACTTAACGAGTCAGGACGAACGTAGTCCTCACCTCGGAGCTTACAATCAGCCGGAGCTTTTTTTTTATTAAACTCCGCGAGTCCAGTGATATAATAAACCGGGCCCCTTATCTCATAGGGGGAGAGGATTGATTGCGATAGTGGATTGTTTTAGGGTGCGCGCGCGTTTGTTTATGTTTGTTTGATTGTGTGTGAGGAGGTTGGGAGGGAGGCCACTCGGCTGGTAAAGCAGGTATTCCGCGTGCACTCACCTGACGTGATCGAGCTGGAGGAGAGGCGCGGCTCGCTCCTCGAGAGCGCCCATCGCTTCTTCGGCGTCCCTCGCCGTCCGCCTCAGTGTCGGATCCGCGAGCAGGCGATTCAAGGGCGTGAGGCTGCCTGAGAGGCTGGTGCACTCTTTCAGCTCGGACATTTCCAAGGCGAGCCTACGACCGGCGGCCTGCCATTCCGTCATCACGGCGTCGTACTCCTGAGGAAGACAAGAAAAGTGTCAGAAGCAGCAAATTTTCGGCTCTGAGGGCTTGTTGCGTCTTATCGATGAGACAACTCGCATTCCTTATAACGCCACTCTTTATCAAATCACGTCTTTGTAGATTTATGCAAATACATTTGCAGCTTATAATTCAACATTTTTTAATTCAATGTATACGCGTTTATTGATTGATTCATTGTCAAAAGTTGTCATAAAATGAAAATATACTGTAAATTTTTTTTTTTCAAAAAAAAAACAAAAAAAAAAACAAAAAAATGCTTCTAATGCTATGCACGCATTTTTATTTCAAAACTGTCGACATACATAATGAAATGAACGAAGTAGTATGTAGAGCGCAATACTTATGACTTATGTAGAAAGTATAAATTCGTTCTATCGATATTGCATATAGAAATCATTATTAAGCACTGCATATAAAGATACACACACGCATATAAAGATTTTAAAGAAACAATTTTTAAAAATGGTTTTTGAAAATTAGTAATTCTCAATTATTATGACTATCTTTGACATCAGTTTTTATTTCGATGAAGCTGCGCATCAACACACTACTAAATACCGCCTTATTTACCATATATAATAAATATATAAACGATTAATTTTATTAATAATAATATCGTTAATGTCGTTATTATATAAATAAAGCAATTATTGATATAAATGGATGGCGGAAAAGAATGACGGCAGATCAATTAATGCCATTAGAATATTTTTCTTTAATCTTGTTTACGAGGTGTGTATTACTACTACAAGTTGAAGAAAGTACGAAAAATAACTGTATTTTAGAAACACATATTTTAACTTCATTTACTCTAAACATTTTTTTCCCTTTTCATCAATAGTACTATAAAATGCGTTAAAACTATAATTATACTTTTAAAGGATAATTAGTTAAAGACTCGAGTACCGAAATGTAGAAAGTATATTGCAGAAAATTGCGCTCATTAGATCCCAGCATTGCTGGATAAAATTTTTGTAGAAAATGAATTTGCCGAGCTTTCAAAATTATATACGTTTGTGTAGTAATAATACTTTACGTGTTAAAAAAACCGATTGAAATACGTAAACTAATTTATAATAAATATTATAATTATAATTTTCATTAATATTATTTTCTATTTATTATGTTTAACATTAAAATCTCAGATGGGTGAAAATTTCTCTTTCTAAATCAACTCGCTAAATCAATTCGCTGAATTTATCTCAACTAATCTCAACTGAGCACTTCCATAATCTGTGTGACTAATATTTATGCAATTAACGGCCGATAATTTCAAAAATTCAAAAAATTAAGCGTCTAAAGGGAATGAATAGAAACTCAATTCGTTGGTAATTGGATGATGACATATAGATGGGAAGTTACGGATGATTCGTTGTTTACTGACGAGCGACAATCTGCATCCAAAAATATCAAAATAACCGACAATGATATAATAATCGTTAATCAAGTGGCAACGCAGGTTAATCGAGTTCATGACGAATTTCATTATTCGATTAACTCATTGCTGACTGAGATCTAGCGACTGTATTACCAAAGTCCCCACTATCGCTCTCGAAAACGACTCGATACGGCATATTTATAGCAAAAACTATTCGATTATTATTGCGGAAGCTTTGGTAACATTGTATTTACATTACGGCTAATAATTTTCGATTTTATCTACATCTGACTGAAAATTATCGCTGATATTAGACGTTTATTTATTTCTTAATTCGATATCCGGCAACAGGCCGCTATTTTTATATCCGTATAAATTTTAGGAATTATAGAATTTGTTCTTTAATAAGTCCCGTGTTAATTGAAAGAAAAAATATAAAACATTAATTGGACGCTGTGAATTCATTAGTTCAGCGTGGCAGGTTCGCTCTGAAAAACTGAAAAACATGGATTTTTCACAATTAAAATTATAGCAATGGCGAAAGTATGTTTTGCTTGCCAAGTAATAAACGACGAAACGGCTGATTTATAAAAATTGTTTTTGTATACTTTCTACAATAATTAAGCGTTTAAGAGCTAAACTGGACAAATATACGTCTAATGTATTATAGAAAACTGTTATGTCTTCGAGTTTATCGGAGTTAATATTTTACGGCAAATTAATGAAAACGTACTGCAAGCATGGAGCGTGAATTTCAATTCGGTTCAAATTAATTTTTCATTTCGCTTCTCACTAGGTAGTAAATCAAAACATTTATGTTACATTTCGTTGGAAAAACGCATTTATGGTTATTTATGGGCGATCTGTAACGCACGTGGAAAATGATGATTATGCTTCTAGATGATAATCATCTAATCATTCGAGATTGCCAAGCTGCGCAATCTGAGAAATTAATAATTAATAGTCAAATTCAGAAAAATTTAGTCGAGAATGGAATTGATTATCGTAGAAATTGTGGAATGACAATGAGCTGCTTGTTTACATCGACATTACAAGCATTTCAAGGATATTTGAAAGTTTTTTTTTAATGTAAGCGTTAGCGGTAACGAACCAAGTTCACTGAAATATTTACTCGAGTACGTGCCGTTTTTGCATTGTTAATTCTAATATGGTTCGGGCGATTCGACATTCAAAGGTTATTTTAATTCAGCATCTGATATTTTAAAATTATACCAAATTTATTTGGTCTTAATATGAAATTCGTATCACACGACCAAATCAAAAATAATCAAAAAACTTGAAAGAACATAATAATAATCCGGATTATTTTGTCATTTTGACAAAACTTAATGACGTTCGATTGATTTTGTTACATAAGTGTGTTATCGAAGAGCACATTTTGATAAGGGAAGAACAGGAAAGACTCTTTAGAAGCTTTAAATAAATATACTTTTATAAGAATAACTAGAGAAGCTCTTTAAACAGAATATTTTTGTTCATTTCTACGGAATTGGATATCTTTATATAATCGTAAAGATGATTATCTCCACGAAAGAATTATCAAGACATTGAACGTTTAATGCTCCTATAAATAATGAAAATAGCGCCTCTGCATGCCTATCTAGCGTTTGTAATTATGATATACCGACATATTTTTTCAAGCCCAACGATGACCCTCCATACGATTGAGTAAATTTTTGCGCAAATTCACATATCGCTTGGCAACCCTTTCGCCAATTTCATAATTACGAAACAGTGCTCATCAAATGTAACAGCGCATGCGCAGAGTTTAATAATTAACAGCGGTCCTCGAAAAACGGACATGCAAATGAGAAGCAATCTGGCTTTCCAAATAATGAATAATTCAATGAATTCTTAGGTGAAAAAAATAAATATAAATGAGAATCAGTCAAGCGCGCCCGGGGTTACTTGGGAACACGTGCGATAACTTCGTGCTCGACTTTTGAACTAATGATGTTTTATGAGTTCAGGACTTCCTTCTTCGGCTGCTATCTATGATAATAGATGCTACCCTCGCTAAGAGCCATCGATTCGGCAGATTTAATAGAATTTAACATGAAATCATGTCTGCGGTTAGTGTCCTCTAGTGGCGAATTACGTGACTTTTGCGGTCTTTCGTGCTTCTTTTAATATTCTAATTCTTATTGAATGCATTCGTGTCGTTGGCGAATATCTTTAGTCAACAATTTTTTCTTTCTTAGTTTTATATTCGTTTGAATAATACCGTTGAGCGGCATATTAACATTAACTTGAATAACGAACAATTTCTTGGATTTTTTTATGCACTAGAATCAATTAATATAATCTGTTCACGGCACTTGCTTAATGTCGGCAACGCTAATATTTTCTTCGACGTCTATACGCTAAATGCAGACTGGAGCTTAGTACTCCAACATAAAATGACACGCATAGACTATCAAATAAATATCTTTGTAATTTCGGATTATTTTAAGGACGCTGGATCGAGCCAATATTTGAGAAAGCCAGGGAGAACTGTCAACGATTAAAGAGTTTGTCGATTCAAGAAAACTAACTCGGTGCGCTATATGATAAATTAATTTATATATAAGTTAATTGATATATCAGACACTCTGATAAGTTTTATACGAAATCCTAATGTTTAGGCCATGCCCCATAACGAGCGTGTGGCAATAAATATTAATTTTCTCTCAAGAAAATCAATGATCCAGTAATTTAAGCTGTATAATAATTTTACTCAAATTGCTGTGGTTTACGAGTTAAGAAAACATTTCGAAGATTGAAAATTAAAACTGTCGCGTAAGTTTGTAAAGTACAGTGTCCTCAACTATATAAAACAAAACAAAAAAAAAAAAAAAAAAAAAAAAAAAAATATGAAAAAAAAAAACTGGCATCACCCGCAATAAATTGAATTTCAAACTTACAATTTCACGACATACCAATTATTCGCAAAATGGAAAAACTTATTTACACTAAAGCTTTCTTTCGTTCGTTCGTAAAACACTTTGATATTACAAGAAAAAGCAGAAACATAATAAGAGGAAAAAGAAGAGGAAAAAGAAGAGGTGGAAGAAGAAGAAGAAGAAGAAGAAGAAGAAGAGGAAGAAGAAGAAGAAGAGGAAGAAGAAGAAGAAGGAAAAAAGCAGCCATCCTATTCATCGGAGCAAATAAAAACGGGAGCACACCCAATGTTCGTGGAAGCGTGTTTCTCTTGAAAGTAAAATTCCAATAGGAGATGAAAGTTCACGGGCAAGGCCGACTTTGTTTTCATGGAGCGACGGTTCGAGTAGAGCAATTCTTCCGTGCCGATTGCTCGAGCATTTCGATTGTTCGCTTGGCGTCAGTCTGTATGGCAATAATTTCACCTGAACGAATCCGGCTCAAGTTCGGCGAACCCCCCGAATCCATCATAATGGATCAGTCATCCGGAAAACGAAGCCCCTCAATGTCATTGCCGCGGTCACTCGGCAGCCACTTCCCCTTTCGGGCCCTACCACACTCAACTTTCAGCCTTATATTATTTTTGTTTTACGTTTTTCCTTTTTTTTTTTTTATATCTTCATTATTTTGACGACTCGGACTGTCAGTGCTTACGTTGCATTTGGTAATTACTATCTCATCACGATGTGCATCGTATTATTAGCGGTAAAGTTGGTATTGTGCGACTTACCAACACATACAAAACGATCTTCCACATATTTGCTTTAATTCCCCATGGTTATCGAGAAGTTTTTAATGCAATTATGTTTTATGGGATGAAATTAAACGAGAAATTGTCACTTGACACTATGTTTATTTTAATTTTATAACTATTTTCCACGCATCTCTCGTAATGGATGTTGATTAATTTTGAAAGTAACCATGGCGCGACCAATCGCTAAATACTAAAATCTTAAGTCACGATTCCTACTTGTCTTACGATCTTACTGTTTCCATTTCAATAGCGTACTTTCATTGCCATTTAAAATTACAAAAAGCCTATGGACGTCCGGGCCGTAGATTCATCAACACAATGATAATTCTCAAAGTTTTTCAGCGTGAACTAAATATACAAATGCACCATACGTTTCAGTGGATAAAATGGCCAAGTAATGCCGATAGATCGGTATTGCTAGTAAACGCTTACGGAAACGTGTATAATTACTTTTGCAGTCGGCTCTTTGAACAATGACGAAGAGAATTGCGCGAAAATGAATAAAGTTGGAGTTTTGAGAGAGAAATTATTTTCAAATGAATATTCATAGCGGAATGTAAGCTGTATGGCTGAAAAGCCAAGTACTGCAGTTACGCAAGACGCTTGTCGATAAGATCTCTCTTTATGGTTATGTTTCAATTTATCTATTCGAGCGTATTACTTATTTTCAGCGGCTAATATTTCATAATTTTAATTTGCTTTCGCGGGTATTTTGAATGAATTGATTTTTACAATTGCTCGATACAACTTACGTAAAGTGTACTAAGTATTTGTTTTGCCCACTAAGGCTTAGCTTTTAAAGCAATTAATTCTCACGGATAGATTAATTAAAATTATTATTCATTTTTCAACGTTCAAGCATAAAATATGAACTGATAATTGACCACTTATAACTTGTACTTTCATATTCTTGAAAAATCGATTACCTAACACAGAACGTTAATTTTCCCAACTTGCTACAATGAGTTTATTCAATGAGTAACTCGAGATCCGAAGCAAATGTAATAACGTGATAAGTTAGTAGGAGATTTGACAATTGTCAAGAATGATGAAAAAAAAAAAAACATAAAACAAAAAACAAAAAACAAAAAACAAAAAACAAAAAAGAAACTAAGAAATAAATAAATAAATTAATAATACGTATTAAAAGAATAAGAATTTCAACATCGCATTAAATGCATCGTATCTTTAATAATACAAGGAGCCATGATTAGTAATATTCTCAACTTTGGTACTTTCATTTACGTAAAATGTATTCTAATCTCTCCGGCAAGTTATAGTGTTATAAATTATAGTCGCGAACGGTAAACAATCTACGTGCCAACATTATTCACAAGTTGAAAAAATCCTAAGATAAACGTAAGAGGCTCATGAACTCCCTCCCCGCGCGACCATCGCCGCCGCCGCTACCGCCCTCCTTATTACTTATACAATACACTTTTAAATGTATAATGGAAAATGGCGTGCAGAAGGAAGCCGTAATTAGCTCGTTAAACACCTGCTCTCGGCGGCAAACGAGACAGGAGAAAAGAATGTAAGAAAGAGAACGAATGGAGGAAAAAGAAGGGCGAAGGGAAAGAAGAAAGGAAGCCGCGATGAAAATGAAAAATTAAACGGCAAAACTAGCGGGCACCGAGTGCGCATCCGCGAATGCGATTAACCACGCGCGAACATGCGCTCTTTCGCAGTCGTATAACGACATAATGGCCGGCGTTAAACCGCCCATCGCAAAACTCTTCTAACTGGGCTACGTGTATCATTACTCTCCGGACCGTGAATTTTCAATTTCCAATTGGACACACCCTCTCCGCGTACTTATTGGCACCGATTGCGCGCAGGTCTGGGCGTCGATAACTATTTGCGCACCTTACATTCCATGCCAAAGTGTCCACCGAGCAGCTCCTTGGCTTTCTCTCCTAGTGGATCACCTAGTGGCCAAGCCACGTGCTCGCATCCCATTCCCCGTAGATGGTAGTATTCTCTCGCAGTTTACCTTTTCGTAAGCTTCTACTGTCCGGCGCTATACCACAACCTATATCCTCCGACCTAAGTCAGCAGGGCGAAGCTCGCCGTGCATTTTCAATACAATGGTATAATCAATTATGGTGCTATCCGACGCCCGATGATCGACGATTAGAAAGGATCTTATTAGGCTATAGTTCGCAGGACGTCGAGGCAGAAGCTGAGGGAATACGTCAATTTTATAGTTGCGAATTAGTCCCTCCTGAACGGGACTAATATCATATAATACTAATATCCGCCTGGAACGGAGGATGGCCTCGCAGCATCGCAATAGTCGAATACGCGCAGCATTAAAAATAATAAATGATACGAGCTTAGGTATGACTAACGGATCGAGTGTCGCGTGATAAACCCGGTAAGCAAGGAGGAAGCACAATTCCACACATCTATAATTCAAATACCGTAACAATATTAACGACAGTTGGGCGCGTTGTTTTTTGATAGCCCGACGAACTATGGAGTGTGGCTCCGAGGCTAATGAGCCCTCGGATTACGCCAGTCCCCCTCGATTGTAAATAATTTCGCGAAAAGCATCGATTAATATATCCTCTACGTCAGTATGTATGACCCGTCCGAAGCGATGGCTAACGAGTGCGTTTCCGCTGGCGCATTAAAAGCGAGAGCTCGTGCAGAGCGAAGGGAACGATTTTCATTCTCCGATCGCCTCGGCCGACACATAAAATTCTCCTCATGCGCGCCAGTGCAAAGCCAGTGATTTTACCTTGTAGTAGGCGACGCAGTGCTCGTGGTTGTAAACCGTCGCTCGCCTCGGGATGTGTTTCTCTAGCGTCTTCTCGTCCACGCTGATGGTCTGTAATCAGAAAGCGGAGCCGATGGTGTATCGGATTATTTCTTTTTCGGCGTGCATGAGGATGGGGAGAAGGAGGAGTAGACGATGGACACGATTGTCGTTCGGTGTGCCACGGCATTACTTCCGTTGTCGTTGCGACTTGCGGGGTGGAGTAACGTTTTCACGGGTTACCGATTACGGTTAAGGTTAATGCGACGACTATTTAAATAAGTACATAGGACGCGCTAGAAGCGGTCTGAGCCTTTGTTACGTGTGGCCAATGCACTCGAGGCGCCTTTACCTCGCTGGCGTATTACCCTCGATATCATTTGAATTTCATTAGCGCTATCCTTGCCCTTCCGACATGCCCCTCCGCCACTCGCCCGTACGCGAACCCAACGCTCTATTTGTTCCCCCCTCCCCCCTTCGCTTATGCGAGTTCGTTTGTCCCCATTGTCTCGCGCGAATTAAGCCGTCGTCGAAAGCCTACTCGTGTAGGTGGTTATCTCAACGAGGCCGGAGAACTCCATTAAGCTTTAACGCACCACTGCCCCGTAACGACCTATTCGCGTAAGCCGTTAAGAAGCTGTGGCACACACACACACACACGCACACACACGCGCACACACACACACACACACACTCTCTCTCTCTCTCTCCCGGCCCGTTTCTCGCGGCATTAATACGTGGCATTCGATTCGCGAAGAAGCCGCGGAACGTCGGGGCTGCGGGTTGGAACGGAGTGAACGGGGAGACGAGGACAAGCGCGTTAAATCCGAAATGGGCTAGGGCTCGAACGGATGGAAGGGGGTTTGGGAAGTGCTCGCGGTGCAGTGGCAACAAAGACCCGGAGCTCCCGTTTCGTCGCGAGTGCCCGAGACTAAACAGAATACGATCGAAGCCATTATTAATGACGCCGAGGCGGAAGGTTATTGTAGCCACGGATAATAATAGCTGACTCTTATGGTGGCCAGGCGTCCTGGCGACTCCCGAAATTCTTGGCTATGTTGGGCGGCTAACGAGAGCTCGAATTAGCTGGTGTAGCATACCTCCATCACGGGTGTACGGGAGTCTCGTGCACGGGTACACAATTACCGCTTAATATCAGGGTGTTGGTGTTTAAAAAGCGCGACTTGTTACGCGTGAAAGGATGAGGAGGGAGGGATGGGGTGGAGGTGAAGATCTAGCATTGGATTTAAGATTATCGGGTGGCGAGTAGTGACGACATATCGAGTAACGACGACTCACCTTGAGGTGACTGCGTGGAAAGAGGTCGGGCGTCCTGACTTCCGGTGAATTTCGCAGAAGGTACGCCTGAGGTACTTTGACTTTGCCCTGAAACAATTGTATTTATGCCTTGTAGTTGCGTTCACATGCCAGAATTATTTTTCATACGGATAATAACGCGCGCGCATAATATGACTTCGTATATGGGTATATTAGAAAAAAAAAAAAAAAAAAAAAAAAAAAAAAAAAACGAATGATGAAAATAACTTTTCATAAACTTTAAATAATAATAACGGTACTTTCCAACGGTTCTTTTTGTTTATCGAAAGGTGATCGTTAGTCGTTGAGGTAATTATATTTTATAAATGCAAATATCCAATGTCACGTGTGTAAATGTGAATGTAATAATGCAGTCAGTGTACCACTGACAAAGCCTACTTAAGATAATGCAATATATACTACATTATTAATTGTCTTATATAAACAAATTACAATATTATGTATAAAGTGCATAAAATATAATGGCTGCTTTTTAAGGCATTTTATAAATGAGGCAGACCTAGATAAAAGCAATTTAGAGAATGAACAATAGACTTTATAAGCAATTTCTCATTCATTGCGCATGACCGGCCACGTATAAAGAAATTCTCTTGATCGAATTCTTTGCTTTCAATGCAAATACAATATCTAATATTATACGTTACGCATTATTATAAATTTATATAAATCTTTCAGAGAATAATGCATCAAGTGATATAGCGTTCGTATTTATTATTAAGTTATATTGCTTAAAAATTAGCATTATTTATATCTCACGATGATAAATCATCATTCGCGATTTTCAAATAAGCCGTAAATCATGATCAATCTATTATATCGTAGATATACGCGCATGGGTGCGTGCGTGCGTGCGTTATAAATATCATAAATATTGCAATATTATTGTTTTGTTATAGCATTTGTAAAATAATTATATTTAGTCGTTTAGAATTGAAATAAACTGTGTCGTATAAGTACACGTCAATTGCAATTTAAGATAATTATAATAGTAGAAATTAATACGTACTTTTAGTAGGTGGATTGCTCGATCCAGAGTCTCGACTTCCTCTTTTAAATTAGCATTAACAAGTAGCGCGAATCCATCTTGCATACATTCGGCGCTGGAAAAGAAAAATATAATGTATCTATATTCTTTTCATTGTTATTAAAGAAAATTGCAATTACTCTGTTCGCGATTTTATTGCCAACATTATAAAGTTAAGGATATATTCGGTGCTATTAAGCGCACGATAAAACTTTTTGCCTCCATACGTCTCGTGCCAACTAAAAGCTTTCATACGGACATTTTCATATGCTCGCTATATAAGGAATATTTAAAAAATTCGAATTATTCTAGTTATTCTCTCTCCAACACATTATTTCGATGTACACGAGACATATTTTACCACTGCCAATGTGCGATCTGATTACTTTTCTTCTTTAGTTGTAATGTCAAATTACGTTGGATTTAACGAGACCACGAGAATTTCCATTATTACTGATTTTGTCAAACAATAAATGCCTAACGATCTATTCAACCATTTCGTCTAATTAAATTGGCAAATTCCATTGCAAATCACCAAGTTCGTCAAATTTCCATAAGACAACATTAACATAAATCGCTGACTAATTTTTATTTGACTATATTTATATTGCACGAATGAAACGCAAAGATAAATAATAAGCCGCACTGTATTCATACGAGTAACATTTTCAAAACGTGTTGTATGCCTATCGTGCACTTTAATTTTATGTTATAGTGAATTAGTCAATTAATTTAAATTGCGATACACTCTACTAATTTTATCCAGTATGAACACATACTCTACAGCCTATATCTCTCTAATCGAAAATTTGATAATAAAATCCTATGTGCAAAGAGATGCTCGTGGCGGGTTGTTCTCGGTCTCTCCTTTACTAGGGCGTCATTAATGACGCCTGATAAAAACAAACAAAACAAAACAAAACAAAGCAAAACAAAACAAAACAAAATAAAACAAAATAAAACAAAACAAAACAAAACAAAACAAAACAAAACAAAACAAAACAAAAAAATAAGAAGAAGAAAGAAAGATAGATAGTACGGTAAAGTAGCAGGTAGAGAAGCCGGAGGGCGATATGAAATGCGTGGCAATAAAAGCGAACGATAACGAGTGTCCCTCCTACGGTTATTTCGCTTTTCCTGCAAAATCCACCGACATAAGCGGCCTCTGTAATTCCTGCGCAACTTCGAAAATCCCGATCTCGACAATTAGACGTAAAAGCGAGTCCTTTCTCCGGCGATGTGCCGGGCCTTCGCGCTCCCAATGCATCCGGTCCGCGCGCGCGCGCGCATCAAGGCGGATCAAAGCGACCCGCGACCCTCGCGGCTACGAGGCCTCGTAATAATAAAGGTGCATTTCGTGTTTTCCCGCGCGGAAGTGCGCATTGGAATTTTACCGACCGGAGAGAAGCTGGCGAAAAGTCGGCGGGCGCGTGTCACCGAAAAGTATTTTCCCACGTCTGGTGAGTGTCTGTCTGGGTCGGGTCGTGTCGTGTCGATCTTCCTCCTGGACTCCCACTCCAGATCGTGGAGGGGGAACGGGGATGAGAAGCGAACGAGTAAGGCACCGACAGATTAGGTAACCATTCGCTACTTTCTACCGAATATCAAGGTGGATTGGGGAGACAACGATAACGATAACTTGACCGTAAATGGGTTTAATCGAATCATTTTAACTTCACTATCTGGCGTCACTTCACCTGGCCGACCTACTCTATCTATCTATCTATCTACAACAGTTTTTCAATTCGATTGCCAACGTAATCTTCAATTATTAAACAACAGATTTTACAGAAGCTGGTGGAAATTATCTTAGTGGATGATCGACTATCATCGCTAAGCTGCTTCAATAATATATTTATAGATATTTCGTACAAATTCGAATTAAGAGCCCCGTAGCCGATTGCTTAATCAACTCTAATAACGATAAACTCTATCGATAGAGTGGAAAGTCTATGTTAAAGGTAGTCGAAGCACATTTTTCTTTTTCTAGCGACCGTGAGTTGTATGAATTTAACGAATACTTTATTAATATTTAGTGATATCTACCCGATAAAAGTGACACGACGTCAGCGGCTCTTACGAGAGTGTAAAATAGGATGTAAGGTAATTAATTATTTTGAGTACAAGATTGAGCAAATATTACTGATCAATAATGTTTGACTCGCTGGATGATTCGAAATTTGTAGATTTTAACTTTTTTCAAAATCACCCGACTCTGTGGACTTAAAAAATATTTATCTCCCCGAAACAAGCGCTACCCACTATTGCTGATAAATTATTCCAATGTTTTCCATGATCATAATTTATATAATTTATATAATGTGTGTGTGTATATATATATATATATATATATATATATATATAATTATTGCATTTAAATTTGCAAAATATCGTTCTTAAAATATTCGCCATCAAATTGGTTAGTCGTTAAAAAATGTAACGGCATTTTGTTCTCGGGGCGTGATGACTTAAGTAGCTTTAATAATAGAAATGCGGAATGTACTCCAAGGATCTCAATAATACCGATATCTTGTATTTTATTCAATACTATACATTTCGAATAATCTGCAACACCTACGGATAAACTTTGCAACCGATGCACGAAGAAGTACAATTCGGCCTCGAGAAATCAAGAATATTTTGGCGTAAAGTGAATATGACATCGCTACATCGCAGCTGCACGACACAGCGGTAATCCCGCGAACTATGAGGAACCGCGCAACGACTCTCGCTCGAATGGACAAAAAGAGACACAGATTAATCGCCCACCCGGACAACCTCATACCGGCGATAACTAGTCGATGCGAAAGAGGCGCACGCGTTAGTTTAGCGACGACCACGATATCGGCATTAGCCAATGCCCGTGTCAGTTATTCAGCCACGTGGCGTTACTTTAACGGATATTCTGTTTCGAATTTCACATTACGTCTTTGGCGTTTATTGCTTTTCGCATGAAATATCGTGTATTTTAGCGGAGCGACGTAGTGGGTAATCGCGAGGGAAGTACATTGGTCGTCTCTTCTCGAATGGGATGCTGAAGTGTAATGCTACACTTGACGAATGCGAAGCAAGGAATTACACGATAATCTCATAATTATTGCATTCGCGTGCAGGTGATCGCGTGTCTCACATGGCATTTATGAGACTAAGATATCTTTTTCCACAGTCGCTTCATTTATAGTTTCATTATATAAATAACAACTTAACATTGTAGAGTTTTACAAATTTCTGTGAAAATAATCGTTAAGAATTAAGCGAGTCGGTGCGTTGTATATTGAGAATGAAGGATACCTAAAAAGCTTTAAAATATTTAATGAGAAAAGCGATCAAAGAAGCGAGACTCGAACATCGTTTGTAAAACGATTGACGGTACCCGAGCCGTTAGCTCTCCTCTTGAAAATAGAATGTAAATCAGTCAAAAGGCGAGTAGGTTTTGTCCGACGATGATATAGCCTGTCAATATTTAATATTTTTGTCCCTTCAATCGGATAACTGTATGGTTAAATGGTTATTATTATTAATTACGAATCTCAACAATGCGGCAGACTTTAACAAGATAAATGTAAAATAAAACTTATCGTCTTAAGGAGGTGCGGGATAAAGTTGTCGGCGTCACACCAACGCACACCTCTTGCTCGATCGGTCCACCCAATCGAGCATATAAAAAATATTTTCACATCGATCGGCAATACGAGATGATCGTACATCTCTATGGAAGCTCGACGAATCGATCCTCGCGTGTCTTGGAGCGCGTGAGAAAACGCGTGAGACGCGACACCCACGTGACCTGCGTGCCCGTAAATACGACCAGGACGAGGCTCGCGTTTAACGGCCCAAGTTACAATCGCTGAGTTTGTAACACTAACGCTCGAAGGTCAAGGAGCGCGAAAAGCCGCGCGCGGCCCCCGGGGAATATGAAAGTGGAAACGAGATTATTTATTCGCTTTGTCGTGTCGCGTTTGCCGGCTCGTCGATGCGCCATAATGAGCGCTAAGTACAAGGGAGCAATTTTACAAAGGAGCAATGCCTTCTTTAAGCGTCTCGACGCTACGTCGTTTTTTTCCTTCTTGCTGGAGAAGTGATCTTGAACGAGGGACTCGGGAGTACTCCCCACGAGGCAGACTTAATCATTGCTTGTGCGCAAGTCCGGTGGGGTGGGGGGGACTTTTATCTTTCCTTCCTAATTACAATAATAGTATTGTTTTTTTTTTTTTTTTTTTAATGATTAGTTGGAATGAAAGGACACTGTGTCTCGTCCACGTTTGGCTATCCTGCGAGTTTAGATAAATTAGATAAATTTTATTAGTACGATGTTTGAGTGGATTTCATAGACAGTAAAATTATTTAATATGTTACTAGTATAATATATTTTAGTGGTAGCACGAACCATTTTCAATTACAGAGCGGACGCGTTTTATTTTCATTTATCATCTTACCGCTTTCATCATTTATAACGTCAATGTAAAAAAGGCACATAGTTTTCGTAAAAATTCTCAATAAGCAAAGAGTATGCCGTGAATTTATTGCAAAATAAATAATCCGAATCAAAAGACGGATATTCTGAAATTAAACTCGATAGGAAGAATCCAATCTGATATGATTAAGATTATTGCCGATGAAGGCCAATGAAATAAAATTAGCGGCTTTTCTTACGAAAACTCGGTCAAATTTTCAATCAATCAGCGATTAGTTACTTTACTCCAAAAGGCTCATTTATGTCATTGTTAATTTTAAGACGAGCCACGACCGTTTTTCCTTATAAATGATTCGACTCAATTATTCAATTAAATTATTTCTTATGAACTTTAAACGGCACAATGTCTTTTTAACGATTATACATTGAGTATCAGCAGGCGATAAATTGCCCACGTGGAGCCATGCTATATTAGATACATTAAAGAAATATTGGAGCTTGTGTTTTGAAAACTTTTGGAAAATTTAATTATTAATCGTCTATCTATTAGGATTCGTTAGGATATTCGTTAATGTTTCTCCAGGCACAGTGTGTTGCCGGTATTATTAATGAAAATAATGGTCGCTCACCTCAACATCAACCACACGGTAAAGTACGTACGT